TTGAGCGCAAGATATACCGAACTCGGTCTGCCAGGTTTTGCTCTGTGACGGTTAAAGATGGCTCCAGCTCAGCAAAAAGACGATGCATCCTAGTCCGATACGCCAAACATCCAGTTTCTTCCCCTTTTGCCCTAAAGTACGCCCGCAGTGCGTTTGCATTCATTTCTTGTGACCAACGCATGCGACGTGCTCCACCAGCGGCGGGTGCCGCTTGCTGAGTCCGAGAAGACCCAGCCGACACCAAGCCTTCTGGTGGGGATGATGGATGCGGAGGGCTGGTAGGTGACCGTGCAGCTCCTCGCGCTAGGCTGGCGGCCCGCATGCTGCCGCGTCCAGCGCCAGCTCCAGACGCGCCCCGGCGACCCCCAGGCAGCGGCCCTTTGCGCACTATCTTTCTATCCATCATCCATTATTTAAGCGTCCATTAACGGGAGACGCCCAGGCCCGGCACCGTTTCGTGTGTAGCCATAAGCACAAACGGGCCTCTGCACCCTAAATTCTGCTGCGGCACGGCGCTCACACCTCTCGCAAGGCGCTGACTTATTATTATTATTATAAGCGGCCCTGCGACGAAAGAGGCGTGTGAATAATATGCAGCAGTGCACTTTTACAGACATGGGAGCTGTGTGGTGGTGCGGCGCTAAGCGGCCCTACGACGAAAGAGGCGTGTGAATAATATGCAGCAGTGCACTTTTACAAAGATGGGAGATGTGTGGTGGTGCGGCGCTAAGCGGCCCTGCGACGAAAGAGGCGTGTGAATAATATGCAGCAGTGCACTTTTACAAAGATGGGAGATGTGTGGTGGTGCGGCGCTAAGCGGCCCTGCGACGAAAGAGGCGTGTGAACAATATGCAGCAGTGCACTTTTACAAAGATGGGAGATGTGTGGTGGTGCGGCGCTAAGCGGCCCTGCGTCGAAAGAGGCGTGTGAACAATATGCAGCAGTGCACTTTTACAAAGATGGGAGATGTGTGGTGGTGCGGCGCTAAGCGGCCCTGCGACGAAAGAGGCGTGTGAATAATATGCAGCAGTGCACTTTTACAAAGATGGGAGATGTGTGGTGGTGCGGCGCTAAGCGGCCCTGCGACGAAAGAGGCGTGTGAATAATATGCAGCAGTGCACTTTTAAGGACTAATGAAGAGAAGAGTCTTTTATTTCTTCTGTAAAGTAAAAAAATAAGTATGTAGAATTTTAATGTTTGTGCAAATAAAACTGTATGTACTAACAAAACTTGTTTTATTTATGGTCACCCTATACCTACAGGTTAAGAAACATTTTAATAAGTGTTATATCCATAAAAGTACTAATTATGTACAATGTCTCTAAGGGTCAGATAAAATGTGTTTTATTACAATATGATAAAGTTTCATAACTCTATTTTATACTTTAAATTAATATATTCATTTATTAACAATAGTCTATCAAAGTCCATTGCTAAACATAGGCCTCCCCATAGATTGCCACATAACAGTGGCAAGTGCAAGTGGCAGTTATGGCAAATGTGTAAATGTAATGTAGTTTATTTATTTGTAGTTGTTATTAGGAAGAAGCTGCTGTGCGTTTTCCATCTGTACCCACGGTACAGATTAAATAATGTCACGGGACGATATGGACTCCTACACGGTATATTAACGTACTGCTAAATAATATAACTATGTTTATTAGAATGTTTACGAAAAAGAACGCTGTACTTATAGATTGAGGAGCCAAAATCCTAACATTGTAATGTTAAACTCAGAAGTAAAACATCTTGTATAGATTATACATAGGCTACTACTAAGTTATGCTTAATTTTCAAAAATATATATGGTATATTTTTCCAGTTCTAAGTTCTCCTCAATTCAAACGTCTGAATTATGGCCACCTTTTACGTCCTGTAACTTTTGAAGACTTGCTACAAATTCCGGGAAAGGTTATACAAAGTTGGCCTATTTGCTACTTAAAAAAACGCGTTTATAATCTGCGTTTATAAACACTCCTGTCTGTCACAGGCAGAAATTAAATCTTCCATTAGGCACGAATCTGACACATCTTTTTAGCCTCCTTTACTTCCATATCTATCCAACCTAATTCGCGTTTAATTATCAAAAATGGTTCCTCAGTCCCAGGACACGATGGCGTGCAGCCTTATGTAAACGCAGGAATCAAATCATCAAACAACGCGGTGACTGTGGACAGAACTCTTGCAAAACCCTATGCTGACTTTGCTTCTTGCGTCTTGAAGGAAGTGTCAAGGAATTAGAAAGTACATAAGCGGTACGCTGAGATCTTAGATATTTTATTATTCTATATCTTCTACAACAATGTGTGTAGCGTGGTGACCTTCAACCCACGCTATCAGATACATAGTAACGACTAAATTACAGACTTTCACTTTCATCCAACTGTATGAAGCTCCCACAGATATTGCAGCACGAATGGGTCGGCTCGACCGGAGAAGGACCACGCTCTCACAGAATACCAGCATCAGATAGCAGCTTAACACTGCTGTGTTTCGTTTGGTGAGTGTAGAGAACCGGAGACTCTTTTAACTGGAAACGAGGCGTTCAATCTTAGTCCTCACGGGTGAAAACGCATCTGCATTTTGATTCGTTATCGAGGATAGATCTAATGTCTATGGGTCACAACAACCTCTTACCATCAGCTGGACCGTATACTCGTTTGCCTCCCTTATACTATAAAAAAATTGTATACCTACTCATAAATAGAACCTTGGTAGCTCCTGGGCTTAGCGCTCTCTGTAAATTTCACAGTATGCATGCAACCCGGGTTCAATCCCCGCCAGCATCAATGACATTGTTAATTGTAATTAATATTGCTGTACTTATATCCACTCATATATCACACTCTACCAAAGTACACAGGCGTCTCTGAATATGGGCTACATATATAAATAAACCCCGCATATTTTCTAAGATTTTGTTAATTAATAGAATCAGGCATAATTTTGCGGAAAATACATTACATCAAAGTTGGTAAGATTTATATATATATATATATATATATATATATATATATATATATATATATATATATATCGTATCACCATAATTCCAACCACCACACTAGGAAAGACATACCATCGACAATAATACGACACGTGTTTCGCTTCTACACGAGGCATCCACAGGTGATGTAGACTCTGCGGCGGCTGACCGCTAAGCAAGCTTGACTTAGTGGTGACGGGATTTATGCACGCAATCTAGTGATGACGGGAAGTGCTCTTTAAACTAAGTAAGACACATTATTTTATTTTATTTTTTATAGAAGAGGGGGCAAACGAGCATGCGGCTCATCTGATGGTAAGTGACTACCGCCGCCCATGATCAACTGCAACACCAGGGGCAGGTGCGTTGCTGGCCTAATAAAAAGGAGTAAGCTCTTTTCTTGAAGGTCCCTAAGTCGTACCGGTCCGGAAAATATCGCCGGTGATAAACAATTCCACAGAGAAGTTGTACGAGGAAGAAAACTCCTAGTAAAACGCACAGTGGTGGACCGCCAAGCATTCAGATGGTGAGGGTGGTGTCCTGAATTTTGACGTGATTTGCACTCATGTAATTTGGCGGCTGGGATTAATACGAACAATTCCTCAGAACAATCCGCTACATGGGTGAAATAATTCTTACCAACTTTAATAAGATTTTGTTGTCAAAGCGTATAGATTTCACGTTGAATACATTACAGACTGTTAGGAGTCAAAGTAACTATTACATATTATTAGCTTGAGCTTGTTGCTAGTGTTTACATCACTATTTTTGTGTTTCTTAATGGGCGTGCATGCAATAATCTTATGGATGACACATACAGTCAGTTCAACTGATCTGTTCGAAAGGACTGTTGATATTTTTTAAAATATCGGATTTTCGATATATCGACACCGTTCACCTGATGTCGCTATTTAGAACCGAGGTGACTTATTTTATTACGAAAATGGTCAAACAATGACATTATCAATGAAAAATTTGCGTTTTCAATAAAAGATTTTCGTTTTCTGTTCTATGCACCTACACAAAATAATGCCTCACTGCAGTATTCCTAATTTTTTACATATTTATAAACTTTTTTTAATTTTTCAACCTTTAGGAATATCCGTAGTTTAAATTATCCGTTTCTAATCTTATATTAATATAAAATGTAACTAATATTTCAGAAAGAAACGTTAATACTTTTTTTCTTTCTTTTTTTTTATAGAATAAGGGTGACCAACGAGCACACAGTCCACCTGATGGTAAGTGGTTGCTGTGACCCATAGACATCTACATCTATCCTCGATTACAAATCAAAATGCAGATGCGTTGTCACCCGTGAGCACTAAGATAGACTGCCTCATTTCCAGTAAAAAAGGTCTCCGGTTCTCTACACTCACCATACGAAACACAGCAGCATTAAGCTACTGTTTCACGCTGGTATTCTGTGAGAGCGTGGTCCTTCCCCGGTTGAGCCGACCCATTCGTGCTACAACTATACTATTAATATAACTGCAACATGGCTCTACTACGAAACCTGTCACCCCTGAGGACTAAGATGGAATACCTCGATTTCAGTAATAAGGGTCTCCGGTTCTTTACACTGACAATACGAAACACAGTACGTTATGCTGCTATTTTACGCTGATATTATGTGAGAGCGTGGTCCTGCCCCAGTCGAGCCGACCCATTCGTGTAGCACGAACGAAACTATAATATAGCTATAGTGTGGCTCTACCACGCAAAGTACCGTTCGTACCATTTCTAATCTAATGAATATAAAATATAACTAATCAGAAAGAAAAGTTAATCTCTACACTTTTCTAACAAATTAATTTCTCCCCACATGAAATTTGTCAAATTTTACGCCTCATTGAAAATCGGCTCCGCCCTGGTTGCAGAAAAAATCGTGGATGCCCTTATTAGGGCCGTCCGGGATGGAACCCGGGTTGCTCGCGTTCTATGAAATTTACAGCAAGCACTTTAACTTACTTACAAGTTATATACGAAGATTTTCTTCCCTGCCTCCGACCCGTCAAGAATCACGAGGACTAAGTTGTAGGGGGTGCCTCATGGTCTTATTGACTATACGGTGCATCTCCTGCAACGGGAGTCCTTGCCGGAGAAGGTTCTCCTTTACAAAGGAGGTTTCAAACTCCTTTGGTATTCCACGTATCACAACGCGGAGACGTGTCCACTCCAGGGAGTAGGTGTGGAAGGAGATGTTCTTACCACGAAGAATCTTAGTGAGGGCTCTGTAGTTCTCCACCGTGTTCGGCGAGACTACAATAAGCTGTCCAGAAAGCTCGGCTTTGGAGAAGTCAATCTTCTTCTTCGCCATGACCTGCTAGATGCGGTACCAGGTGGCCTTATCTTGTATGATTACCGGCGGAGGGTTTTCGGCACCTTTCGGACCCTGGTTGACTTGTGCAGTTGTCCCTTCTCGGGAGGGGACTGTCCGCCATGAGTGGGAGCTACGGCAGATCGCGAGGCGGGCGATGGCGCTCGTCCAGATGAGCTTTTTTCTGAGGCCCTGTGCCTCTGCCTTCCGATGACAAGGGTGAAATCCTCTAGTTATACAAAAGAAGAGAATAAACTTTTATAAGAGGCGAATATATTTGATCGCATATACTGTGTTACACGTAAAGCTGGCCCAATGAAGGCGTAATTGCGTGATTAGTGAGGTGAGTCACAGCTTGTTACATCAGCGAACCATTCATCAGATCTCCGCGGCGACGCCCACGTGTACAGAATTAACGGTTTAGATGCACTAACCAATGACACCGTATTTCACAAATGACACCTTAGATTTTGTGTTGTGATAAATATTTAATGCTTCAAATCCTTTTCTTATACTGGCTGTTTTAAACCGGAACACATACACGGTATGGATACTGGGATACAGTATTGCTTGGCGGGGGAAATAACAATTACGCTACTTATATAATATTTTATATATATTATTAATATACTCTATATATATATATATATATATATATATATATATATATACTAGTATATAGATGAGATGCAAAGGTAAAACCTTTTGCTAGCATCATAAACGGAGCGGAGTAAAAGTCTAGTCATAACATAACTATCTCTATTTCAACAAAAGATTCAATTAAATGGTGTGACATTGCGCAGATGTAAATTAGAGAATTGATTAGATAGTAAAAGAAAAAAAATCAAATTCAGATTTTTATGGTTTACAAACCTTGTCTGCGTTGCAGCTACACATATTGCTGAATAAATCATATAAATTGGCCTACTATCTACGGAGGAGATAGATTTAAAAAAAATCGTCTTCTTGCGCCATGGGAGCTCCACTCGCTTTGCTCGCTCCGCTCCAATAACAGACAGTTTAGATAAAATTTCAAAAGGTAGCAATTAAAATTTATTTTAATATTTTATATATTATAAAACACACACATGCACGAGCACGCGCACGTGTGCGCACGCACGCACGCACGCACACCCACACACAACGATGAAAGGCGATTTTGCAAGTCTAACTCTATAAGTCGAACATGAAAAATATTCTCTCGGATACGACAAAACTCTAAAAAAATTAATTACGAGTGTACGAGTGTACACAATTTTTGAAGCAAGGTATTTTAAACGTTTCGATTTATCGTCAAATAAACTTTAGCCATGACACAAAAAATATAAGCGATATATTTGTATTTGTAACGGTATCGGATGGATCCCTACAAAAACAGAAAATAAGCAGAGGCTACTGGTGTCGCTTGAGATAAATTGATACCGCGTATGAAGTATGTTAAATACTTCCATTGTTACAACCGTGAAGTGGCGGTGTTAGAATATCCACCACCATATATCATCCCGTGGATGTCATAAGCAGAGGCTACTGGTGTCGCTTGAGATAAATTGATACCACGTATGAAGTATGTTAAATACTTCCATTGTTACAACCGTGTAGTGGCGGTGTTAGAATATCCACTACCATATGTCATCCCGTGGATGTCATAAGCAGAGGCTACTGGTGTCGCTTGAGATAAGTTGATACCACGTATGAAGTATGTTAAATACTTCCATTGTTACAACCGTGTAGTGGCGGTGTAAGAATATCCACTACCATATGTCATCCCGTGGATGTCATAAGCAGAGGCTACTGGTGTCGCTTGAGATAAATTGATATCACGTATGAAGTATGTTAAATACTTCCATTGTTACAACCGTGTAGTGGCGGTGTTAGAATATCCACTACCATATGTCATCCCGTGGATGTCATAAGCAGAGGCTACTGGTGTCGCTTGAGATAAATTGATACCACGTATGAAGTATGTTAAATACTTCCATTGTTACAACCGTGTAGTGGCGGTGTAAGAATATCCACTACCATATGTCATCCCGTGGATGTCATAAGCAGAGGCTACTGGTGTCGCTTGAGATAAATTGATACCACGTATGAAGTATGTTAAATACTTCCATTGTTACAACCGTGTAGTGGCGGTGTAAGAATATCCACTACCATATGTCATCCCGTGGATGTCATAAGCAGAGGCTACTGGTGTCGCTTGAGATAAATTGATACCACGTATGAAGTATGTTAAATACTTCCATTGTTACAACCGTGTAGTGGCGGTGTTAGAATATCCACTACCATATGTCATCCCGTGGATGTCATAAGCAGAGGCTACTGGTGTCGCTTGAGATAAATTGATACCACGTATGAAGTATGTTAAATACTTCCATTGTTACAACCGTGTAGTGGCGGTGTTAGAATATCCACTACCATATGTCATCCCGTGGATGTCATAAGCAGAGGCTACTGGTGTCGCTTGAGATAAATTGATACCACGTATGAAGTATGTTAAATACTTCCATTGTTACAACCGTGTAGTGGCGGTGTTAGAATATCCACTACCATATGTCATCCCGTGGATGTCATAAGCAGAGGCTACTGGTGTCGCTTGAGATAAATTGATACCACGTATGAAGTATGTTAAATACTTCCATTGTTACAACCGTGTAGTGGCGGTGTTAGAATATCCACTACCATATGTCATCCCGTGGATGTCATAAGCAGAGGCTACTGGTGTCGCTTGAGATAAATTGATACCACGTATGAAGTATGTTAAATACTTCCATTGTTACAACCGTGAAGTGGCGGTGTTAGAATATCCACCACCATATATCATCCCGTGGATGTCATAAGAAGCGACGGAGATGAAACAGGAGACGAGCAGCAGCATCTTTCTGATAACAACTCAAAATAATAAAAAAACTGCGGTTAGGACTATTATTTATTTTGTGCTGCGGTTGACAACCCTCTCGCCAAGCGTGTTAACTATGGCAAAATCCCCCCTATAAAGCAATCTATAGGGGAGGCTTATGTTCAGCATATGAGCCATGGGAGCTCAGATGGTTAACGCTCGCTGTAAATACAACAGAACGCGAGTAACCAGGGTTCGATCCCCGCCGGCACCAATGAAATCGTTAATTGCAATTTTAAGTGCTGATTTACCACGTGCTCGGCGGTGAAGGAAAACATCGTGAGTGACCTGAATGTCTGAGGAATAAGAAAAAAAAATATTTCGAATACATGTTAAGTTCGCCAACACGCATTGGGGCAGCGCGGCGGACACTTCCTTGTCCTGAAACCCTCTCAGAAATGAGGGGAGGCCTGTGCCCAGCAGTGGGACGTATATAGGCTGTAACTTTACTTTACTTTTATGTTCAGCAGTGGACTTTTATAGGCTAAGATGATGATGAAGATGATGAAGTATCGATACACACTTGGTATTGAAAGAATATTGATACCTACTTGTATCGAATTTTTTGTCATCTAATGGCAGCAGGCTAAACTGGTAAGCGCAGAACCGACCGCTGGTATAAAGATTTGGGTGAAGATTATCGAATAAGTATACCACATTTATCGGTCACTAGCCTAGGCACCTTTATAAGCACTAGATATTTAAAAGAAGATATATATTTTTCTATTTTTAGAAATTATATCTAGAATAGAATAGAATAATTTCTTTATTTTTTATTTTTTTTATTTAAATCACGTGTAATTCCTATTGATAGTAATTTATTTCTTTACCAGTGGATCGGAAAAAACCACTGTCCTGGGAAGAATCAGCAAGAAACCCAGCGGGACTTCTTTAAGTTATATTTTACAATAAGAATGGTTACACAAGTTATTTAAATATTTAATTTTAAAACACCATGGAAGCGACCACATCATTCCCAGTTCCCAGGGGTTATTATCAACCATCTATTTATTTATTATTCATTAATATTATAATAACCCTTTTTATACAGTTTGTGTTTAATTAAATATTTAAACTTGGAAATAGTGAGACCTTGTATGTTTTCTGGGACTTTTATGTAATAGCGTACACATTGCCCCAAGAATGAATTACTGACTCTGTGGAGTCGAGAAACTGATACCTATAACCCACCAGCTTATGTTTGTTTCTAATGTTTACAGAGTATATATTACTTTTTTTACTACTTTTGTATTTGTGAATATATATGAAATTTTTATATATATATATATATATATATATATATATATATATATATATATATATATATATATATATATATATATATATATTTTTTTTCTAAAAGACTTCCTTGTTTTTAGATTGTAAAAAGCTCTCATGGTTCTCTTGTACAAAACAAAAATACTTTCTATATCACAAAATCAGCCGCATTTCCCCATAGCAAAATCTTTTAAATCATGCTATAGAAATAACTGAAATAAACTAATCCAACAGTCTCGACACTAATGAGATCTCTAATCTTTTTAAAGCTGCAGAGCTTAGTCTGCTTGCTAGTTTGGATATATGGGGACCACACTAAAGCTTTGCGTCAAGAGTGATGCCAAGAAAAACAGCGGATTCAACAGGGTTCAGTTCTTCCCCATTTAAAAACATATTGGTATTCAGATTTTTCTGATTTGGTGTTGTAAATTTAATACATTTAGTTTTATTGCCATTTAAATGTAGATTATTATAATTTAATCTTATATTAAGTTTGGTCATGTAGAAAGAATGAATGAGGAAAGAGTGACAAAGCAAATTTATATGGCAGATGTGAACGGCCGAGTCGGGAAGGGACGCCCTAGAAAAAAGTTTATCGACCAAATTGGCGAGATTTTGAAAATGGGCCACGTTAGAAGTACCTTTAACCGACGAGCATGTATGCGTAGATATATGGATGTAAAGAAGGCGAAAGAGGTATGTCAGGATCGTGCCAAATGGAAGTCCTTAGTCTCTGCCTACCCCTCTGGGTGACAGGCGTGAGTGTTTATGTTTTTTTTTATTAATATAACTTCTTTGCTTTCAACAAATCGGAGGTTATATTACT